GCCAGCTCTCTCTACCTGTCCGTCTGTCTATTTGTCTTTTCTCCTTCTTGTTCTTGGTCTTCGTATTCCCCCTTTCCCCACGTCTCTTTCCAGTCTTTGTACTATTTCTATGCTACTCTTCTTTTTCCTTTTCCTCCAACCTTTCTCCGTTTTGCGTTTAAACTGAACCAAAGAGATAGTCTTTTGACTCTAGCCAGTGTTCTAGTCGATTTAACTTCTCAACTGTTGTTCTCTCTCGTTAATAAAAAGCCCGACAAAAAAGCAGTACAAGATAAAAGACAAAAAAAAAATAAAAGATTTATCCCGATATTCTTTATTTCCTTCTCAGAAATCGGCTTGAATAATCGGCATTTTCGGCATCATCTGATCATGCGTATATTTTTCATAACAGAACGAAAAGAAAAGAGAATATAAGCGCTCTCATTGTTTATCGTCAGCACAATAAAGTTCAGAACGGAAAGTAAACGCGGTATGAATGTACGTATAGTTTATCATGCACGTAACATGCATCCTCATCGTAGCATCATCATCGTGAGAGAAAAAAGATTGTAAAACTTTGTAACGAAAAGATGGAATTGAAATTGATACAATTCCTGTTTGAACTCTCGAAACGAAAGCGAAAAAGTATGGAAGGAAATTAAAGATTTTTCTCTCTTGAAAAACTTTCTTTCATCTTTTCTCTTTCGTTCGAGTACTCGAACGAAAATCGGGTCCATTTAATTCTATCCTTTCGAGAATCCTTTAGAGAAGAGAAAGGAAAAAAAGAAAGGGTTACGCGTTCGATTTTTGTTGCAAAATAATCGATACGCGTTCGTAATTCGCGTTTCGAATTCATATCAACGTTTTATCATTTCTTGGGCATGTCAAAAAAGAGGAAAAAGGGGAAAAAAGAAAATCGCTTGCTTACTCGCGATAATGAATGACACCCACCGCCTGTCACTCACTTACACACACATATACACATAAATACACATATTCTCTGTCTCTGGGTCTCTCTCTCTCTCTCTTTCTCTCTCTCTCTCTCTCTCTCTCTCTCTCTCTCTCTCTCTCTCTCTCTCTCTCTCTCTGTCTCTCTCTGTCTCTCTTTTTTTTGCTCTCTCGTTCTATAACCATATCTTTTTCTTTTTCTTTTTCTCATCCACCCTCACTCATCGAAGCATCAATCGCATCTCTTTACTCGACTGCAAAGCGGAAACGACTGTGATCTAGATTAGTGTTACACATCGCATGAAGAAGAAAATGAAGATGAAGAAAAAAAGAAAAGAAAAAACAAACAATCGATCGATCAGTGCTTAAATGCAACATCGACCATGATCATGACAACGTCGTAGACTATGAATGTCTCGTAGCGATTAAGTATTTCTTATGAACTCTCATGCATATACATATACATATAAATAAATGAGAAAAAAAAATATATATACATATACGCCGCGCGCTGAGAGAGGCTATGTGAACACTGAAACATTTTTTTTTGTTTTCCTTTTTGTGGAGCAATGTGTAAGTAAATTTGCATGTGGGGCAATGAATGCAAACGCATACATGTATAATTGCAATTAATAAAGTATACGTTGTAAAATGTGATATATGTAGCGTGCATACCTTCATACGCCTTGTGAAATAACATGCTCTCTCTCTCTCTCTCTCTCTTTTTCTCTCGTCCGATCTTTGTTCGATCGTCATTTCGAGCTTCTCGGTAGATCTCATCGCATGCGTCATTCAGTATTCAACATCTTGCTGTCGCAAAGTGATCTACAGAAAATTCGGCAAAATTACTATCTTAAACTGGAAAATGTGTGTGACGGCATGATCGTATTGTAGATAATGATCCAAGAAGTTATTTCATAATGCTTGTTTTGAATTTAATTATTGTTTAATTACCTCTGAATGTGAAATTTCAAACGGTTTCTTCCTTGAAACAGCTTGGTATCGCCATCTTGAGGTTTACAATTCAAATCTCAACATTGTCGCCAACTTTTAACTCTAAAATCTTTACTCTCAAATTTTAGCATTGCTACCAATCGTTTCTCGATCAATAAAAGCGAGAAGACTTATCGATTTTTTGTTATCGGTTTCTTGTTATAGTATACAGGTAAGTTTGTAAATTTTAATTCACAAAAATAAAATGAAATAATAAAGATGTTATTAAGATAAATAACAATGAAAAGCAAAAAGTGACTATTATTTTTTCCACTTTCTTTGAAATTTCTCTTTATTTTGCTCTTTGCATAAAAAAAAACGATATGTCGCACCTGGTTTGTTTAATATACAAAAGAAACATTAGTGAAATGTAGTTAAAAAGAAAAAAACATTTTAGAAATATACGAAATATACGATGTGTTCTTTTCAGCTGTACTTTTTTACACCTGTTTTCTCTTACTTCCTATTCAAAGTATAAAAATACTTTTTTATCAGATTTATTTTGTCGACTGCATTTTTGTATACCTTTTGCACTAAACATATATATTCTCTGTAGATTCAAACTGTCGCAGATAAAAGCGAAGAACTATCATAGGAAAGTGTAATAAATCTATTTAGAAAGTAAAGAAACTGAAACATATGTATGTTATTTATTCAGCATCTGTATATATCTGTTTCATTTACACATTTCATAATTTGTATTATATTGTAGATTTATGGGATCAAGGAGATAAGTAAAAGTGCAATTTACATAAATGTCACGCGGAAGCAAGTTGTGTGACCGCGTTATCTCCTCATGTCGTCTTACTTACACCTTACGGCACATGGCAACAGTTCGAACGCCAATCGACGCGCCGCTCTTTCAGTTTGTTGAATACGACGTTTCATAACAGCCCTAAACGGTCCATATCTTATCCAACATCCTTGGCTCTGTTAATTCGCATTTCAGTTGCGACAGGACGAGAACTCCTGGATACGGTTCGTCCTCATAGTGGAAATCATCAATCGAACGAACAAAAAACCGTCGTATTCGCATTCTTCAACGGCCTATCATGCTCACGGTAAAAAGTTCTGTAAAACTGTAAAAAGTTTCACAACAAATTATGTGCTGTGTGATCTTTACTCTAAACTCTGCAGGCTTTTGTATCGATTGTTTTGTCATAAACGTTGTGAAGCAGCAGGTGGCTGCAAAGTGATCGATCTACTTGAAATAAAAGAATGTGAAATAGTTAAAATATTTAAATGGAACGATGTACTATTCGATTCTTTATTTTCAGACTGTCGTAAGAACTATCGCTCGCCGTTCGTTTTCCACGTCGAGATGGGCAGCAGCACAGCAGGTGATTAACTTTCTTAACTTAACCTATATCTTTTGTCTGATATCCTCAAATTTGCGGTTCAATTCTCACGATTGTTACAATGTCAATATTTGTGGACGTTTCTACTTGGATTGATAGTCTTTTCTTGCTGCTTCTTCGTCTTCTTCTTCTTCTTCTTCATTCATTTCAATTTGGTACTTTATATGCTTTTGATAATTTACCAAAGTGGAAACTTGAAGGACACAAAAGGTCATTTGTTTTCCGCTTGATTTTTTTTACGAAAATTTATTTATCTAAACTTTAGATGACAGTACGAGATGCTTTGAATTCGGCTTTGGATGAGGAGATGGAGCGGGATGAAAGGGTGTTTCTTCTTGGTGAAGAGGTGGCGATGTACGATGGTGCTTATAAAGTCTCTCGAGGCTTGTGGAAGAAATATGGAGATAAGCGAGTTATCGACACACCTATCACAGAAGCTGGTTTCACCGGCATCGCCGTTGGGGCAGCTATGGTGAGTTCGAAGGCACTATAGGATATATATATATATATGTAGTCACTCTCTTACTGTCCTCTTATGATTGTATGTTTGTTTCATCTGATACCCAAATATTTTTAATAGGCCGGCCTGAGACCAGTCTGCGAATTTATGACATTCAACTTCTCTATGCAAGCGATTGATCATATTATCAACTCTGCCGCCAAGACGTTTTATATGTCTGCTGGTAGAGTCAACGTGCCGATAGTGTTTCGTGGGCCCAACGGTGCTGCAGCTGGCGTCGGGGCGCAGCATTCTCAATGTTTTGGTGCCTGGTATAGTCACTGTCCTGGTTTAAAAGTAGTATCACCTTACAACAGCGAGGATGCCAAGGGTTTACTAAAGGCGGCCATTCGAGATTCCGATCCAGTGGTGATGCTGGAAAACGAGATATTATACGGTGTGCAATATCCTATGTCCGACGAAGCCTTATCTAAGGATTTCGTCCTGCCAATCGGCAAGGCCAAGATAGAACGAGTGGGCAACCATGTCACGTTGGTAGCACATTCCAAGGCGGTCGAGGAGTGCCTCGAAGCGGCCAACGAGCTCGCCGGCAAAGGGATCGAGGCCGAGGTGATAAATCTTCGTTCTCTTAGACCGCTGGACATAGACACCGTCGTGCAATCTGTGGTGAAGACGAAACATCTGTTAACGGTCGAGCAAGGTTGGCCGCAGTGTGGTATCGGCGCGGAGATCAGCGCGAGAATTGCCGAGAGTAAGTTTCGTTCAATCGTTGCCTCGTTATTTGATTCATTAGTTATGCAATGATAACATATAGAACGATATACAGACATATTGGTTGAGATTACAGTTAAATGCTCTGTGAAAGATCGATGTATTTTAAATAATTTCGATGGCATTCGACTTCGAAAAAGATAATTCATTTTAGTTCATTTGTCCCCAATGATAATGTTTCCTTTGTTTTCTTGCAGGTGAAGCCTTTTATCATCTCGACGCGCCTGTAATTCGTATCACTGGTGTCGACACACCCATGCCATATACGAAATCATTAGAAGTCGCAGCCTTGCCACAGACAAAGGACGTAGTGAACGCTGTTAACAAAGTTTTAGGAGTGACGCAGTAGTCAATAGTACTTAGACGTATTCTCAAGTACTTAGGCGAAATCAATATATTTCTACGGTTTTCCTAAAGCGCATTGCAGGGTTTCCCCAACTCCCGGACTCACGTCTCTCTACCTGATATATTCTACCTCGTCCAATTATCGATAGATAATGGATAAATAGTAGAATTTACTGCAGTGGAGTAAACAAGTAAGTGTAAAGTCTTCGTATTATGAAGATAACGCTGTGTCGTTGATTAGAGAATGTTTACGAAATATTTCCTTGTAAGTTTTCTTTCTTTTTTTTTGCGTGAAACTCTTATAAGCGTGAAATTTCTTACAAAGAAATACGTTTTATGGAAGAATGTACATTTGTTACTACGTAATACGTAAAGAGGTTTGTAGAATTGCACTTTTTCTTAGAATTAGAATTTCATATACTATGTATGATAAGGTATACAAATAATGTGATCAATGTACACCTTATTATTAAGTAGTTAATACGTGATATCAATTGTAATTGTATATGTACATATACCTATTTTAATACTTATCCATATGCTAATTAAAGTATCAATATGCAGAATTATATGCGCGGAAAGTTCTGACTTTTGTCTTCGATTTACAAATAAATCGGAATTAATTTCCAACTAAATGTATGATATGAAATAATACGCGAATGCTATTCTACTGCCGTCTCAGTAAGAACTGCCTTTCTCTTTGTGGAGTTTCACGCCACGCGTTGTCCGAAGTATCAATGAACTTACAAGGATATGCGGATAATAAATTCCGCTATTAATTGACGCGCTGTCGCATATGTGCAGAATTACAGACAGCATATACGTGCTGCTTTTGTTTATTTATTACAGAAATTTAATAAATTATGCATAATTTATCAGTTTTAACTTTTATTTACTCCTAAATATAATGTTTTACACATATATTAGTAATCAAGTATGATACATACGCAAAAGGCAGCATGTCACTACAGTCATGTAACGTTCAAACGCGTCTCTCAATTCTCCCTCTCTGTAATAAAAAAGCAATATTAATACTCTCTTCTGACACAAATTGCGCGATATATCGAATTAAGGAATGCATCATTGCATTAAGTATATTATAATTCGTGAGCACCTGAGCACATCCATGTCAAGGGCGCACTGTGTATAAACAGCTAAGAAATTCCGGAGATCGGAATGCGTCCAATTGACTTGTCGCCAAGGCTCTATGCATCTCTCTACTAGCTCCAGAAAGAAAAATCTCAACTCCCGCGATCTATGCAGGTTGCAACCAATTCCCAGTATCGCTCTTGAATACGAACGAAAGTTCATGTCTAATTCTTGATAAGATCGTTCGAGGAGCATCGGTTTGAGTTTAATGCACACCAAACTGAAACATATAGTCCTACTGCTTTTATCGATTCTTATGACGAATAAATCGATTTATTTTCATGAAATTCAGCATACTGTTTGTGATGTTTGTCGTTTTCCAAGAGTACTCTGCATTCTGATAATTCCTGTAAAAATTCCCGGTCCAAATCAGTGTCAAAATAGTCCGACCCGACGCAACGATATGTCCACGATGCCATCATACTATTAGCGCAGTGATATAGGTCGGGAAATGTCAGAAACTGCAGTTTTCTTTTGTTCATTTCAAATCGTAAACAAGCTATGAATACTACCACTGCGTATCGTCTGTTATAATTAAAAGCAATTAATATAACTAGATTACATTAATTGAAGCAAGTTGCTACAATTTTTATCAGTCATCAGTTATGCATACTTAGCAAGGTCATCAGACAGTAAAAAGTGTTGTTTGATATTGGCTGCTAGAGATCCTGGCAAGTCTTCGACTACTTTGAACACTCTCTTCACATTGTCATATTGTCTTCGACAACTCTTTAATGTAATTCCTGTCTTCTCTGCTACTTCATCCATATCCTTTCTACTCTTAGATGTTATCTTTTTCCCCAATAATTCACGTATCACTACGTCGTCAAATTCATAATACCTGAGATAAATGATCTGTATCAGTATGATGAAAGATAAAAAAATGATAGTTTTAATCTTCACATAAAGATTAGTTATTCCTACATCTCTATGAGCATTTGACTAGTCTGTGGTTCAATCTGAAATGCCAGTTGTTCACTAACAAGCTTTGTCGGTGTATGCAATAGCTTCTCTAAAAGAGCATAAGTGCGATAGTGATCCAGTATGTCAGATGCAACTAATTCGAGTGGTGCATCGGTCTGCTGGCAAATCCCTCGCTGGTGTAAAATACTGACTGCGTCATTGGCTAACAGAGAAAATATGTATATGTACGTATGTCATGTTAGGTTAGGAACTTACTATCCAGATCTTAACATGCAGATAAATAGACTAGCTTCTTTTGTATATTATTCATTTCACTCACAGGAATGACCATCAACCCAAAGCTGGTAAATTTCAGGATCTACTAGCGTATAATTACTAATGAATACATCGACCTCCGACAACATGTTTGAGGTTATATTTATTATTATATGTCTTATGGCACCATTATCAACGTGAAATTATTGCGAAAATCATACTGATGTTTACGTAACGCTGATCGTTACGTTAACTTTTCCGCCGTCGAAAACACTTGCTCACACATGAGATATATCCTCGTCATTTCTTTGCTTAAATGTTATAAGATTTTGGAGAATATAATATGGCTGAAAATGATCAGTTGTGTATATATATATATAAAAACACAAGAGGCGGTGACATCTCACGTGACATAACGTGCACATCTGACAGCTTTAGGTTGCTGTACTTGTGGCTTCGTTCGTGAGATGGCGCCTCTATGTTTCCGTTACGTGAGCTCGTTCGATTCACGTAGTGACGCGCTTGGGATAGTTTGAAACGGCCGTTACATGAGATCCATTCAACTTGGGGCAGGAACAATCGAGTAGGTGTGAATTGGCGTCGAAACCCGGCGATGAGGCGAGAGAAAGGATGATCTACTGCATCAAAAGGTAAGCAGATATACAATCATTTAATTCGTATCCGAACGCGCACAGACGAAATATTTAACCTAATGAAGCGTTAACGATGCGGGGGTGAGGAGAAGGTTACATGTCGTCACACAAAATGGCGTAGTTGTTGTCGCGTCGTTTTTATTTTATCCATTCATCATTTAACCACACTCGTTTCAAAGCTTCTTTCAGTTATCTCTTTCGTCTGAAGTATAAGTCAAGTAAGGAGAATATCGATTTCTCCCTTGTGTCAGATATAATAATTGATTCATTGTTAATGACAATTTTGGAATTTATGTTAACGATACTTATCCCTCTTATTCATTGTATCTGTCCTTTTGATATTTCGTAAACATGTTTTATTTATATTTTTCGATTGTTTACCTCTAATTGTTATCCGCGAATAAATTTGATCTGAAAGTCGAGCTCGACTTCTTCGAGGATTGAGGCGAGATACAGCTGAGCAGAAAGACTGCACGATGTTACATGGCGATACGGCCCTGTCACATGTCAGGGTTTTATCGGGGTGCAGTCGGTGCATCATTTTCATTTTTCCGGCGCAATATCATGCTTAATTAAAGTAATCGCCGGACTTTGGAGCGAAATAATATGAACGGCGTAGCGCGTGCAGACTGACGTACGCGTGTACACACACACACACACACACATACACACACCGGCCACACCGGCCGCAATTCCGTACGATTGATTGACAAGCGAAGAGAGTGCAGCCAGCGGCAGTAGCGATCGAAATTGCCACTGCGTTCGCGAATTGCAATTGATTCGCGGCGAGGCAACGTCACGTAACGTTAAACTCGTTATCACGTTATCGGAAACGCGCGTTAACCGGCGGCGACTGCTATAACGTGAGCCGATAAATATTGTAGTATCGTAAACAAAATCCGTCGCAATGCGTCGGCTTTGTCTTAACATATCGAACGAGCCTCGCAGAACGAGTAACGATGCATGAAGAGCGTGAAACTTAAATATTTGCATCAAGTTAATCTTTTTTAATTGGAATTATTTTTCTTTCATTTTTCTTATTCAAAGAAAGAAATTCCCTGGAGTATCATGTACGGTCTTAAATACGTACTATTAAAAAATTTGAAAAAGTTTAACGTCAAATTTGAAAATGAAAGAAGAGGGGGAGAGAGAGAGAGAACTGACATGCATTTATGTGTCTCCTTGCGTGGATATTCGAAGGACCATGATACGGAAATATTTGAAATCTTTGAGAATCATCATCGTTGCGTCAGCGTTGCTGAAGAAGGAAGAAGAGGAAATGAAATTTCCCGGAACTTAGAATATTAAACTTCTCATTACCTTAGGGGTTACATGTTTTATTAAATTCGAGGTTTCTCCATAACTCTGTAACAAAGTTTCCGTATCGTGTTTTATATATATTTTCAATGTATAGTAGTAATATATTAAATGCTTTAACGACGAAAAATATAAAAGAAACAGACTTTAATTAGATTCGACATACTGTTAAGCCACGGAATTATATTCTAGTTACCGCGATTTACTATGAATAATAATCAAAGATTGAACGCAGTATAAATTTTTATGAAGTATGAATTGTATTAGTCAAACAAAGACTATTCCTTTGTATAACGTGCCATTCGTACTAGTTTACGTTAAAAAGAGGAAAAATATGCATGATTCAATATTTATGCATAACAATATGCCAAACCATGCGGGCTCGCTCGATGTGTATTAAGATACGCATTGAATAAACACTCTTGAGACATCTTTTATCTGCATGCGTGGAATCGTTCAGGCTGAAAACTTTACATTTCTTTTTTATTTATTTGAACAATAAAAGTTAATTATATCTATGCATTTATTATTTTATATTAAATGTCACTCACATATTAAATTAAATTACCGATTTCGTAATCGTTCTCTCGCAGTCCTGTCGCGTATTTAGTAAAAAGAGCGATCGCATTTTAAGCTTACAAAGGAACAATATATCATTGAAATACGATATTGACAAAAAATTTGAAAGTTTCCAATTTCTAATTTACGACACTTACAATCACCGTTGGTGTATCCTTAATTGTCCATAATTATACGGAGCTATTCATTCAGTTCATTTTTATCTACATGTTGCAAACCAATGAGTCGTATCCGCTATTAATGTAACAATGTTTACTTTCATTAATATTAATGTTGCACATGTAGAAATATTTTTTGTTCTTCTTGATAAGATTATTCGTTTTGAGCTACGTAAGCAAAGGGACGTATAAACGTACATTTGTATCGTTTATCGTATTAATATTGCAATATTCATATGTGGATAACTCGTTGGGATTATAAAGATTGAAAGTCGTCTTTCGTTAACGCGCGCTCTCGACGGGATGTAAGGCGTGGACTGCCGGGCAGACTCGCGTAAGTAATGATTACGTTATCTTCGTTAGCTGTCACCAAAGACATACACTTGCCTCGCAGGGTCGCGATATTATTTCCCTGTTACATTTAATGTCTCTAAAGGACATACTCGGTTTCGATCCCGCGGTACAGTGCCACTATTGTCTCTCCGTTCTCCGCCTGGCGCTTGTTTTCTTTTCCACTTCCTCCCTCATCTCTCGCGTAGTCCACCACTTCTCCGTCCTCTCTCTCTCTTTCTCTCTCTCTCTCTCTCTCTCTCTCTCTCTCTCCCCCCCCCCCCCCCCCCCCCCCTCTCTCCGTTCTCCTCCTCCTCTTTCATCCTCTTCCGCTTTCTTCGTTTCCTCTCTCTCTCTCTCTCTCTCTCTCTCTCTCTCTCTCTCTCTCTCTCTCTCTCTCTCTCTCTCTCTCCCCTCTCTCCCCCCTCTCTCTCTCCCCTCTCTCTCTCCCTTTCTCCCTCCCTCTCTCTCTCCCTTTCTCCCTCCCTCTCTCTCTCCCTTTCTCCCTCCCTCTCTCTCTCCCTTTCTCCTTCCCTCTCTCTCTCCCTTTCTCCCTCCCTCTCTCTCTCCCTTTCTCCTTCCCTCTCTCTCTCCCTTTCTCCCTCCCTCTCTACCTCTATCTCTACCTCTACCTCCACCTCTACCCTTTCCTCTCCCGCCGTCGCGCGTTCGCCGTTTCTGTGTCTGTCTCCGGACGGAGGAAGGAAGCGCTCCAGGAAATTCATTTGCAGAGACGTGGCACCGTACAGCAAAACACGAATGATATATTTACATGGCGCCGAGGGAGAAACCCGGCGAGATGGATTTACTCGGGAAAGGTTTATCGAGCGTTACGCGGGGAAACGCGAAATGTATTTTTTGAAAGGAACGCGCTAATCCACTCTCGAGGCCGCGGAAGTTCGTCCGCAGTTTTTGCCCTCATCTGCCATGAATTCTCCCGGGCCGGGTTTTCGGGCGCGGCTGAGAAATGCGCGACGTGAGCCCGAGTGTTTCACAGCTCCACTTATTTACGACGTTTGAAGATACTAGTTGACGCTTACACGATAAAAATACGTAATGCGCAGAAAAAATCATCTCCATTAAAGAGTTCCTTGCGAGCGTTGAAATTGCGCATGTGGATGGCGCTTGGTTGGATATTGCATAGCTTCGATAAGGTATGATTTATTTTCGTCGCGCGAAGAAATTTTCGGTGACGACTTTGGTCACTCCTAATTAAATTGTAACAAAGTAGAGATTTTCTGGCGAAGACTCGACAGAGGAAGCAAAGAGGTAAATCCATCTCGTCGTTTTTGTGCACTTGAATGGCGTTGCGGGGGAAAATCGAGCGATTCTTCGCGAATGTACTTATCTCGCGCTTGACGCGCGCGCCATAAAATTGTACGATGGAGGGCCAAGTACATCGATAATATCGGACCGCCTTTTATTGCTTCGGGAGCTTTCGACATATAGCCAAACTTCTCGCCGTTCATCTCGACGTGTCAGCCGCAGTATATCGGCTTAGCGTCGCTTAATAATATACTTATCGACACTATCGTACCGTAATTGCGCGTATTTACTTCTAGAATAATCACTATTGCATTTTATTTACTTGCTTTGCAGTCGTGCCCGCGAGCTAACCGCGAAAACGGCGCAACAACGTTAAATCTCTTAACTTAGTAATAAATAAATTCTATGAGCGCGCGTGTCACGCTGGTTAAATTCAGTTAAGCCGGTTTGATAATCGTCAACAGATAATATATCTCTTGACGATTCTTAAACGTGACGATAACTCGTTGTTGACGTTAATCGTTGCTCGTAACTCAGAGGAAAGATTGAAGATTTGAGGATATTTCGCTGTGGAAGGCCGCTGCTTTGCTCGGACGTAATCTCTTGTATAAAAAAATTCATTCGATGTTATCAGGTATTTAATGTCTATGGTAGAATCAATTATGGAATTATATCAATTAATATCTCACGATTATCATATCACACATTGTTGTTGAGAGTGATCTCTCAGATTAGGGGTCGTCACGGTTCGTCGGAATATTCTCGGTGAAGATTCGCAGTGAAATACAGCCGTACATAGTCAGACGCGAAAGGGGTGTGCGTGCACGCGGTAAAGTTCATTGCCGTTGTCGAAATTGCTCGAAAGATCTCTCGCTGTCGGCTTGGTGAACATGCGGAGAGGCACGCGGGGGTGTCGATACTTATGCTAAAATACGTAACGAGCTCGCCATTCGGTTTGGCTCGTCTTAATGTACTCCTTAATTTCCCATGGCATCGCGAGCGTCCGGATCAAATCTCACGGCTCGAGCATTCAACCTAAGATCGAGGTTTCGGCTTGGAACACATCGTCGTCGCGTTACGGGAGCTCACGACTTTTGTGTTACATTCTATTATTACATTCTATTACGTTCTATTATGCTGTCGAGGTGAATGCGTGTCAATGTCTCTTTCGGCACTTTCTTATTCACGTAAAACGGATCATTAATATAATTAATATGAAATTAATATTAACACACACACACACACACACACACACACACACACACAGACACACATTGCAAGGCAAATAATTTCACGACATATGCTCTTTTATCGGCAACTCACAGATATCACATTCGACAAAATCTTACACGTTGTCAAAAGAGTCAATTGGATACGCAATAGATAATACGTCGTAGAATATTTCACAAAGAGATACAAATCGACCGATCGACATTCACGAACAAGATAGGAAGCACGGGAATACTTCGTCGGAGATGGTAATCGAAGATGGAGTCGATAGTAACTTTGCATTAGAGCACCGTTGCATACAACACTGCAAGATAGAGTATGTGGGCTCGCGTAATGCGACTGTGGTCAGTCACAAATATTCCTATCTCTGATCGTTGCTGTGTAATCTCTCATCGCCAGCTCAGTTCATACACACAACCGATTTCTCCTCGTGGTGTTCACGCGAGACGGACGGATATGGCAAGTCCCGGCAAATTCAGACTCACGGTGATTAAGCGCGAGCAGAAGTCGGCACGAGGATAGATGAAGTAAGGGGTGTTTGCTCGGTAGAGTCCGGTGTACTCGCGTCAGGGGTTACTGGCCCATCCTCTCTTTCTCTCTCTCTCTCCTCCCCCCCCCTCTCTCTCTCTCTCTCTTTCTCTCTCTCTCTCTCTCTCTGTCCTCATGATGGCGTCACATGCAACCGCACGCCTCCACCACCATGTTCGGTAATGTTTTCTGTGTGATCGTGTTGTTCGTGTCGATGTAGAGTAGCTGAATCGGGGCGAGTTGCGTCGGCGAACAGCACGGCACTATCTCGTTCTTCCGCGGCACCTCGTTGCCTTTGTTGGACAACCATTTCTGTAAGCAGAAACAATGTCATCGTGCTTGTTACATTCGCAGAAATTCGCATTTTGCGCAAAAATATTCGTGATATGATATAATTATATAGCGAAATAGATTAGTGGAGATATGCAAATGCAATTGTTTAACTTATGCCTCAGTTATTATCTTGCGGCGGATCGATTCCAAGCGTGGGAAATTACTTTATAAAATTCTGTTTTTTTTTTCTTTTTTAAATTCATCGAATTTCATTCATAAAAAAGGTATGTTTCTTGTTCCGAAAGGAGTGACTCGGTGAGTGGGAGTGGGGGTGGGGGTGAGTTTATCAGAGTTGGAATAAGTTTCGAAGTAAATTTTGGTCATTTGCGCGGAGTTGTGCGGTGCTCGGAGGTCGGTGTTTTAATAGTGAAACGTTCCATGAGAAATAGCGGGCGAACGGATAAAGAGAGAGAGAGAGAGAGAGAGAGAGAGAGAGAGAGAGAGAGAGAGAGAGAGAGAGAGAGAGAGAGAGAGAGAGAGAGAGAGAGAGCGGTAGAGCGAATATCGTTCTTTTCAGCCGCCCCCGGGCTGAACGTAAGGAAGTCATCTCCATTTCGCGTATGCAAACGATATTTCTCGCGTCACGCTTCGTGTATGGCAGAAAGCATAGACCTAAGTTAATGGGGTTTTACGTTGCGTGATAATGGAGTCTTAACGCTCCATTATCGTTACGAGTTGCAAACTATATTACCCACATTATGTGCCGCGGTATAACAAGAGTGCCGCCACCCGACTTTTATTAACAATTAATGCAGGTAATAAAGGACACGGTTATGCAGGGCGACTATATTTTTTTACGTTAAGTAAAGCGTAAATTGGCCATAAGAGTCGAAAAGGAATTACTTCGTCCGCTGGACAGTCTTTATAGAAGTGGAAGATTACGTAAGACTACGTGTATGTGTGTGTGTGTGTGTGTGTGTGTAAAAGTGCATGGAATAAATCACTCGTTTTCTCGGATTAAAATTTTCTGTGCTAGAGTGACGCGAATGGGAAAGGTCGCGAAGATTCTTCTGTTCGGTGCCAAAAAGTGACAGGCCAATAGATAAAATTAATTTCAATCAATCATCTAAAGCACGTAATGATTAGTTATTCCTTCAATGGAAAACAATTATTCTCAATGAGAAGATAAGGTTTCCGAGGATTCTTATACGCGTCATCGATAACAAATCAATAAGTCTTTCACGTATCAGTGGTGTTTAATATTGGCAATGTGCTTTGCGTAATGCAATACGATCGGCGGTAAAAGTGCGAAAAAATGTACGATTCTCGAAATAGCGAAGAAAAGAGAGACGTATATACATCCAAGAGCGTCAACATCCTTCCCCCTCTCTCTCTCCTGTCTGTCATTCGCATTTTTTGCAAAGAAAGAACGAATATAAATCACTGTGACGACATAAATTTCTTCTAGCGGTGCGATTATCGGTTGTTATGTATCCGTGTTCCATACGATGTATGATAGCGAGCTATTTCGCAAAGTAAAAATGCCAGGCTATTTGGACACAAAAAGGACCTTTTTACCATGTCCGATGCGAATGTTACGTTCATTAATCATGCTACAGTAATACAGATAGGAAAAACAGGAAATAACGTAACGATAAAGATTAGCTAAGCAATCAATGTTTCTAATAACTTCGCAGGATGTTTCGTTCTGAAGCGATGCAAGAGTAAAGTAATGTAGTCTGACGATAATAGGAGAAAGATAAATGATACCGCTAAATTAAAGATTAAAGAAATACAAAGTTGTTTGAAACTTCATAACTTTACGTTGAACAAAGTTTTCAATGCTAAATTACGAGAAATTAAATCAAGTCTGACTTTTAAATTCTTCGCGAAAGACGCTAGAGACGCGAATAAATATTCTACATCACCAGTCGATGTCGTGAAAACGCGAAAAGTCATGTTGCACTCACCATAATAATGTTATTGTGACCCGTGCCGCTTAAGGTCAAGGATGCTGCCGAGGAACAGGACCCCCGGCAGAAGTACGCGTGATATCCGCTCGGATGTAGAATCCAGTCGCTCCAGCCGATATCTTGAAAGTTAATGTAGAGCTCGTCTCTGCAGCATTCTTTCATATCGGGCTGACAGTTTGAATTTCTCTTGGGCCTGTTCCTTTGCGGCAACGGTGCTGTATGGATCACGAGGAAGGGCTTCAGGGTCATCTTGACTGACACCGGAACGGTGTTACGGTTATCCGAGCAGGTGTTGCAGACTATTTGAATGGTGTGTTTCAATCGGCGTCGATTTACCCACTTTTTCACTATGAAATCTACGTTCGCTTCTACCCAACCCTCTGAAAAGTGACGGAGGTGACGTGAGATCTTGATGGTTCCTAGGCAAGAGTATAATACTGATACGGAGAATAGACAAGTTCTGACATTTCGAACAATTTGTCTTTTTTCAAATGGAGTAATTGGGGGAATGTAGTTAGGGATGAATTTGTTGCTCTTTAGTTGATTAATTTTTACTACGACGAGACAAATTAGGCACTTTGATTCTTCGAATTTTGAGCGAGTTTTTTCCCTGAACCTTGGGATGACACTTTCCTGACTTAATTTTTTTCGTTCAACGACCGATTCCCAATCGTATCTCGCGCAGCAATCCGTATTAGGGCATGTTAGAAATTGCTCGTGATATCGCGATATCAGAAAATTATCCTTCGTCATTCGTATGAAATTTTCGGCGAGGGGCGAAATTGCGATGTGCTAGCGCGGAACGAGCTCGCAAAGTGCCTGCAGTGGTGGGGTAACGAAATTTCGCGGCGGAGGATTTCTGTGCGGTGTGGATTCGTGACGAACGGACGGACGGATAGACGAGGGAAGGATTCCATTCGCCATTTACCTACCTCCAATATCGGTCTCGAAGATTGCCATGACGGTGTTCTTTTCGAAGCTGCCACCTTGGTCCCAGTGATCGAGCTCGGATAGTACGAAGGTCTGGTTGAGATAGTCGTTCTCGTCGTACTCCTTGTAGAACCAGAGCTGCGCTGAGGTCACGTCGACAAACTGCATCTCGTTCGGCAGATAAAACGTGAAACAGGCTGCATTGAACCTTCCTAGGTGATTCGAGCTTTGGCAGTATTTCGTAACACCGGCCGTAGCATCTGTAACACATAAAATCACCAGAGTTGGATCGTACTTGTCTCTCTCTCTCTCTCTCTCTCTCTCTCTCTCTCTCTCGAGAGAGAGAGAGAGAGAGAGAGAGAGAGAGTCGTCAATGTCGTGTAATCTTAATCGAAGGATCGAAAGGAAAGGAGATCATACTCGATGAATTGATATCTCTGTCAAATTTTTCGACCTGTTTGAAAGTATTTTCGGTTAGATCTGGGATACTCGATTTATGAATATATCGCGAGAAAAATATTTTATTACGATGTTAGACGTATACATATTGAGATTGAGATATCCGATACAAATTTAATTTAATAATAATTTTATTATTGACGATTATTTTGATCAAATTTTAGCCTCACAAGAATATATCTTTCGATTTTATAAGTCATGTGGGAGAGATATATTTTTCTATTTTCTTTCTTCCTTTTTTTGCATGAAAAAATATAAAACGCGCGCTGTAATATCTTTTTCCTTCACTATATTACCTATCTCGCATTTTCTTTCTTTTGATAATTTTAATATTCCTTATTTGGCCTGAAAGCGTCATATGGCTATCCGGTTGCCTTTTTGCTATGACGAACGCGTATATGCGGGCTATCCCATTACAAACTAATTTAGTATGCCAACGAACGACACTGGAGACTCAGTTATTCGAGACTTTTGAGAGTGCGCCTTTGGCTGCGCGATCGGTCTGCAATTTACGGCGGTACTCGAAGCAAGCCTCAAATGGAACCACAATTATCCGGAAAAAGTGCGCTTTAAAAGGCTCTTGTAGCTGCGACTCTTGTAGCAAAGTGCGGAAAAGGATATCTCTGAGCGAGTGCGTGCGATAAGTGACGCTGAGGTCAAACAGATTCAATGATCGAGTCATTCGCGTATGATAAAAGAAGACCGACAGCTGTCCAAAATTAATCGTAAAAGACACTTTAGTTAGTAATTATACAACGTACGATTGTGTGCCTGAATTACGCGAAACATTGTTGTAAAACATAGAAATTATTTGCATTATTTAAAAGTATTTCAAAGAATTTAGCGAAATGAATACTTTTGCTGTGCTGTTGCCTTTGCATCGATTAAAATAACAAAAGTTCTCGTGGAAAGTGAGAAAGAGTCAGCTTATGTAAATTCGAAATCGCCATTGTTATATACGTATATATCTTTTTTTTTTTTAAATTTTTGATGTTTTATAAAAAGTTCCCTGACAATTTTCACGTCCGCTTGTCGGACTTGTCGAGCCCTATTCGCGACTCGGAAAATCGCTGTGAAAAACCGCGCGCGTCCAACTCCGCCGACGCGTACATGTCGATTGTTTCGCGGCAATCTGCGATGCCAACACACTATCAAGCGCGTGGAAATGATTTCCGGGCGGATTCTTGGGTGATCAGCGTGCCCGATTGATCGCCACTTCCGCATGATTTATAGCCAGGATTATGCAACGCCAGGCGTCAGAGTGAACATCCATATCGTTGCACAACGCGTGCCAAGAGTCAGCGGTAACATCCACATACTCGCGCTGCATTTTTACTATCTGTTTGTTGTTTACTGTTTAGGATCTAAATAATGACCCGTAGCGTGCACACTTTGTGAATATACATATGAGAGCAGAAAGACCGTTCTCACTGACCTCATCGGGTTTTTGAATAGCGAGCGATATTTTATACGATGGAATATCAAACTTTTTCTCTGCAACGCCTGAAAAATGTCGCTTGCCGAGCAAAATATTTCCTCCAGTTGATATTCACAGAAATTATCGCTACGTAATATAGCGCAACCGAGATCGCGTCAATGAATAGCTCAACCAAGTGAGAACGTAGCGGTTATTAATTTTTCCCCCTTTTTGCGAAATGTTTCATCCGCGATAGTCGGCGTGTAATACAGCTCTAATAAACGCCCTGAAAATATGATCATCCTCTCACCCCGCACTCTCCCCGTACGGGGTTAACCTCACGTTCCGCGCGTCGGAGATTCGTTCGTATTAGTCTCCCACATTCTCACAGTTCATCAGCTTTTCATTTACACCGAGCACATACCCGATTTCCGGGGTGAATTATTCGCGGAACAAATTCCACCACGTACCTTCAGGACGTTTTCGAACATGTACTACTTTCCGGCGTCGCGGCGGAATTCGACAACGCGATGAACACTTCCGGTTCACTGGCCTTCGACCGCACCGCCGTAATCTGCAGCTTTCGCGCTGAAATCGCTGCGGGTTAACGAGGCCAAATGTTCCGCGCCGATATTGCGAGAGCTCATATGTGTATGTGCGCGGTAGATTCGTGACGGAATTAGATAAAAAGCGAATTGGGCACAGTCAGATCGGCTTGTGCAATCGCTGTGCCGCAGAAAGCGGCACACACGGAATATGTGTGCAGTGACACATCATTGCGTACCGAAGTTCGTTAAATTGTAGTTAATGGCATTTTTTACTTGACCTTTTATTCGAGAAGATATAGAAAGTGGCGATGTGTGTTTAAAGTAATATCTTTTTTTTTTTTTCATAGAGCATCAGAGCCGTACACATATACGTGTAACAGTTCCTCAAATTCATTGCATGCAAATTAGGAAGCGTTGCAGGAGGATTAAATGTGCATTTTATTATATATTACGAAAAGTATAAATCCGAAAGGCGCGGTAAATGCGGTCGACGCATTCGCAGTCGCGAATGCACAGTCGCGCGAGAAACATCGCAAAAAGGCGCGAAAGAAAATTCGGACCAATAATATTCAGCACATTCGTGCGGCTGATGAGCGGGGTTATACACTATCGTACTCCCGCACATTCCATCGTCCGCAAGAAGTTATGCGTTCGTAAATTATACATCGCTCCGTTGCGAACAAAGTTGCATGACGCGCCAAAATGCCCAGAATGGAAGGAGTTGGCTTTAAGCGTAAAAACGTTAGCACGTGGCATGTGCGCTACCTTATCACGGGGGCGATTGTTATTCCAAGCGGGCGCACAGGAGAAAGATTCAAGCAATGAATTGCTTAATTATCTATTTAACTCACATCACACCTCGTCTCACTCCTTCTGTGTCTCTGTGTGCGTAGCCTTTATATAAACTCTCGTCAGTGGTTCGCGGAGGGAAAACATTTGTGTGTCCACGGTTGTGTGTCAACTTGACACGGTTGACACACAAATTGACACAAGCAATACTCGACAAAAATGCAAATTCATCTGTATTTATCTCTTCATCACGCACACTCGAGTCGTCGTATTCTCTCATTATTCGCGCTTGATAAAATCCCCTGGAGTAACATTTCGTTTCGGGCATGCGGCACGAAATGCTGCGGGATGGGGCGGTTCTTCCTGCGCGATTTTAAGAAATTCGCCAAACACGTCGAAAATGATTCACGCGGGCGATTAAAACGTCGGAACCGTGATTTCGCGCCGTAATTCGAGCTAAATTTCCGCTGCGCCGGGATTCATACGTGCGCCGTTCACGCGGCTTCCGTATTTGCATCGTCGCGGAAAATTTGAAATTCATGGTCCCAGTCGGTCGTCGGTACCCATCCCGGCAGAAGTGCCGTGCCGTGCCGTGCCGTGACGCGTCGCGCCACGAAGAGGGAAACGGCGTCATTGTTACCGGTTCTCGTTTATTTCGAGGGAGCCGTGCAATTACGCAATATTCATATCCCCGCCGGTGTTTCTCGTCTGGCTGGCCAAGAAGGGCTTGTCGAGAGCTACGGCCAACTCACTGCAAAAAGAATGAAGCGAGCGAGGAGCCTCTTGAAAAACTGCTTTCAATGCGAGACGGTCAGTTTCGTGCGTATACGCTGGAATGGATATGTGCGAACGCAAAACTGTTGGCTCGATTATCAGAAATCGCGTGTCCGTGAAAAATTGTCCGTGATTGCGCGTCAAGCGAGTCAAAGAAGTTGTGCCAAATATGAATATTCAATCTCTCCTTGCTTTTTCGAAATAATCAGTCAACTTTGATAATTCGAGAGGAATTTTAAACTTGTTTGAATTAATTATTGAACAAATTATTAAAATGATACAATTGTGTGGGAAAACATACTTGACGAAACGGAAAGATATTGGATGACGTATCTTTTTAGAATTTTTTGTTAGTGATATTTGCTGATAGCAGAACGTACAGTACAGTCCACAGTTGTAGCAACATACAAGTGGTTATTGCGTCCTTAAAGCTTCTTAAACATCGTTGAAAAGATCGTCTTCTTAATCATCAAAAAGAAATATCGTATAATCAGTTGAGCTGTGCGAAATTTCGGTATCGATCAAATGCTCGGATACGTTTCGGGCACAATAGTTCATTTGCGGATTCGCTTCATCTGCGCTCCCTCGGAAAAGCGCGAACACTCGATATTCAGGGAATTTGTTTCGCGTCCGCGAACACTCGTAGAGGCCGACCAGTACCATGAGAAGGGTGTGCGTACAATATTCACGGATGATGTGTATTTCCTCACGTGTTGTTCGTTCTTCGCCTTTTCTCTATTTACGTGTCTGAATAACCGTTCATTAGCAATCTCCGCATGGTTGAATATTTTCGCTGTAACTAATTGCGCGCAACTCTGTACGCTGAAAGTAAGAATATTTTCGAGATCGTGCAGTCTGTGATTTCACAATACGGATGAATTCGCGATCGCGATAGTTTCTCTGCACCGACGTCTATTATTTAGTTCATTTTAATATTCAAGTAGATTCCGTTTGTGAGCGTAGTCCCGAAAGATTTAATTGTCTGGTCTGGTCTGGTGACAGCTGACTCGAAGCTGCAGTGACATGTGGATCACGAGTCGGTCGCCTCGCATCATCGATTCTCAATTTCGATCTGTGGCAGATCTTACCTTCGCGCGGGAACACGATGACCTGATCCGTTTTCCCGTAGAAACTCTCCGCCGGTTTATCCGGCACGAGCGGCGCTCCGGGTCGAAGTTCGAGCACATTGCCGTTTATCAGAGGCTTCGGCAAGGTCGACAGCGGCATCAAGACCTCGGGCGGCTTCGACAGCCTCAGCTTCTTCAGGATCTGCTGCTTCACGTACTCCACTCTCTGCTCGGTCAGCGGGTCGTTATTGATCACGATTTTATTTTGCGCGCAGCTGGGACAGTAACTCTCGCTGGGCGGCGCGGGCGTCGTTGAGCGCGAAGAGGACGTCAACATGTTCGTCATGAAGCTTGGAATTTCCGGCCAGGCGCTTAAGACGAAAGCGTTGTTCGTGCCGAATATCACGGCGAATACAATAAACAGACGCATTTTCTCAGACGCGTAGGCCATAAGACACCGCAGACAACGATCGAATTCGATTCTCTCGACTTGGCGACTTCGACTCGAACCACCTCGTTCAGGTTAATCAACTGACCATTCACTCGTACTCCTCAACTGGTACTGATGGCTACCAAAGTCCCATCGGACGAGCGTCTCGACTACACCCGGGTCAGTCTGACGCATGGATTCCGCGAATGTGATACTCGTAATATAATATTTCTAGACTTGATTTTACTCAGACTGTAGTCTTCCTTTCTGTGAGAAAGATCCTTTGTCGGCAGCAGTTTCAATCTTGTTGATTGACGATGTAAAGATTCTGAAGTAAGTAAATAACCAGTAAAGGAAATTGATTAGTAAGAGCCGTCATTATCGCTAAATGTTGAGTGCGACCATTTCAATCTTTCTGTTATGCAAACTCCGTCGAGACTGAGTTGATAGAATATTTGATGTTAGAATCGTTAGATTATTCGATGACGAATTAACTAAAGAAAATAAATAGATCTCAGTCGAATAGATTCAGTGATCGAAACTTTATTTATTATTTTGGTTATTAGCTATTATTTGTGAGTCTCTGATCAGTAAATACATATCTAATAACAATATATACAATATATCCTCGATAAACATGTTTCAAATGATACTAGGGCTCGTTGGCTTTAGCGCTGGCACATCAGCATCCACGTGACCAATAAAAAGTCTCCTGGACGATTCGACAACGAATATTTAAGAGCGGCTAACGCAAAAGGAAAAGGAGACATTCTTCTCTCTCGGCTTCAGTTCGCTTACGCTTTCGGATTTGTTATGATTTTTGTAATTAAATAAATACTCTTGTCGTTAAATTACTACGAGTGCATATCACTTTTTTTCACCGTGTGATCTCGTTTGCATTTTTTTTTTATCGCGGCGGCTTTTTTGAGCTTACAGTTGCGAAAGATACTGTGGAAAGTACTGCGAACAATTTTATCTTTTCATTGTTGGATTTAAATCATCGCGCTCAACATTTAGTAACTGCTCATACTAGCCAATTTTTCTTACTGTTTATTGATAAAATTGCAAAACCTCGATCGGGTTGCTTCAATCGTCGAGTCGATATCTGGCGAGATTCAATTCATGGAACCGGTTTACGTCGGTCAGTCACAGTTCCGTTGGTCTTTTGTTGCTTCCTCTTCTTCTTCTTCTTCTATTCCTTCTTCTTCTTCTTCTTCTTCTTCTTCTTCTTCTTCTTCTTCTTCTTCTTCTTCTTCTTCTTCTTCTTCTTCTTCTTCTCTTCTTCTTCTTCTTCTTCTTCTTCTTCTTCTTCTTCTTCTTCTTCTTCTTCTTCTTCTTCTTCTTCTTCTTTTGGAAGCACTATTTTCTCACTCTAGAAACGCCAATCTGCAGGAGACGGCGGCGAGCCTCTGCGCGTGCGAAGCAGGAGGCTCGACCTCCTGGTCGTGTCGCGAACCTATTCCTAAAGACGTTCTCGCGGGGTGGTCGACGCTGTTCTGGACGATGTGTTCACGAAGACTGGAGGTTAATCGTCACGATGGTCCAGTGATGTAGTTGACTCCGCGGCCGTGTGAACTTTGCACCGCAGCTGCCGGCGGGGCCAATGCGGATTGGTTGGCGATGGCTGATGCTGTTATCACCAACGCAAGCACGCGCCGCGAACATGTCGTCGATGGGATTCCGTGTGTTCATCTACTGTTCCTGGTTGTATTCCCTAGTCGGCCGACTCTGCTTCCGTACGTTGTTGGAGCTTGTCTCGATCCTGTTGGAACGATCTGGTTCATCGTCGACCTCTCGACACGATCCGTCTTATGAATTCTATCAATTTTTCTTCTTCTCGACGAGACAAGTGACAAGTTTCTCAATAGATTGGTAGCTACAACGAGGCGAGATAAGGCGTGTATTAATGACAAAAATGCGTTAAGATGTGGAGTATTTCGAGAGAGGTATCTTTGGAGACCCGCTTAGACTGCTATATATATATATCTTGTGCACATATTTCTGACAATTCAAGAACAAGATTTAGTGGATTTTCACCAAGCCGGATTTATTTACTGCACGAGATTTCTTTTTAAGTTCTACATATTATTGCCATTTTATTTGAAAAAATTTGCCACACGTAACGATATATCCAAATTAATCATTGAGTTTGTGAATATATCGGTACCTTTGACGTAGATTCTATTTACGAAAAATTGAGGATATTCATATCGTTTGATTGCGTTCAGTAGAATCGACAACGCTCGCAAGGCGAATGTTTACCGCGAGAAAGATGTAAGCTACGTCACAAATTGGTGTCAACGTTTCTTTAAGCCGAGCCCTGTAATTCACGGTTCATTGGAGCTCACCGCGTGTTACTTACAGAAGATGACCCACCTTGCTGACCCGGAAACGTAGAATATCTTCCCTCTCATATCGAACACCGTGTCGAATTTAAAACATAACGGGACGCTTTTTAAGCTGCTTGCCGAGATTATTTATCTATTGAGTGCGACAAGACGCGAGACTGTGATCTCCTTTAGAGTTTCGCCGTGTCGAGAAATATCGAAGCGGGATAAAGCATGCTCACACTTGGACCGGTTGTGCCTTGTTTCTCCAGTTTAATAAACCATGCGATAACGATTCTCGTAAAAAAAGAGTTCTCGTAAAGAAACACGACGTTAAGCGCTTTATCGTTTTCTACTGTTCGTCGATGTCATTAATAATCACGGCGAAACCAGTCTTCGTTACGCGCGCCGTTTCAGCATTTGAACGTGGCCTCTTTTTTTTTTTCCTACCTCTCTCTCTTTCCTCTCTCTCTCTCTCTCTCTCTCTCTCTCTCTCTCTCTCTCTCTCTCTCTCTCTCTCTCTCTCTCTCTCTCCTACCCTATTCTGTCGTTCGTTCCCGTTGATTTGTCGGACTTCATGGTTCGCAAATTATGGCCAGAGTCCTCCGCGTTGAATTATTCTGTAATTTGCGCCCAACACAGCGCGCGTAATCAGCAGTTCGCGCACGTAACGCTCATTTGTAGATCGCAGCGTTTGTTTGCGTTATCTTATTATCGGTCGTTACCGAAATATAATTTTTCGAATTGACGGACGTAACATTGTTATTCAAATAATGCATTATAATGTTGCTCGTGGTTCGTCGTTCCGTCGATAAAAAAAGTTCCATCCACTCGCTTGATAACACGATAACGTGACATATCCACAATTCTTCACATTTCTGGAATTATGTCTAATTATACGGCAAATATCGTCAATGAAATATCGACTGAACGTACATTAATTTAAATAAAAAAAAAATTACCCGTACATTAAGCATAATTATTTTTCGTGATTAAGGGAAATACATATTTTTATAAACTTATCGAACGCATTTCAGGAGCAACTCTGTATCTATCCCCGTAAATATAATTGATTCTTTCATTTATATGTATACATTTCCGTTATTACGTACGTGCATAAATTAATACGGGTTCCCTTCCTCCATTATTCCACTGGGAATACGTTGGCATACTTCTATAAATGTAACAATTTCTTTCTTCGAGTTACCTCGAATTGCATTACGACGTACTCGCGAGTTTAATAACGAGCGCGAGAAGGGAAACTGGGGGTGGGTTTGGGCAGGGGGGATGAAAACTTTTTGTCGTGAACTTTCCGGAGGTTTAATTTCCGACGCGTATAACGAGAACGACCCGCGGCGTTTAACGCGCTGCCGTCAAAGGTGGCGGATTCGACGCGAGTCGGGCGTCGATGGCGGCGTGCGAAACTTTATTATTACGTGGGCAACACAGTAATTTAAAATCGCCGTCAATTACGGGCTGCACCATCGTATAATGAATAACGATGAAGCAGTAATCAGCGGTGAGATAATTGGAGAACTACACAGCTGCTCGATAAAGATCACTTTGCAGAGGAGAGATGGATAAAAGCTGATTATTTCACGGCCGTATCTGAAACGTATGAAAAATAAAAAACGGACGTATCGAGAATGTATCTACGCGCAATTTTCTTAAGAAGAGTATATTCTTGTTTTTTCTTTTTTATTTTTTTACACAGCTAATTTTTAAGAAATTTTTAAGTGATATGGAGAGTTTATATATTCTGCTCCAAGTTCGTTGATTCTTGCGTTGAAAATGATCGATAAAACGACAAAACGATACAAATAAAATAGTAGGGTGACGCGAATTATCATCTAAGCTGGTCATCGGTAAATCTTCTCTCGTGTCAAACTTGTTCGTGCTCGTTTTCTTTTCTTTCTTTGTTAGCGATTTAGTTTCGATAAATGGGGCCGATGTTCTTTCTCCGGCTTGGAAAGCAACTGACTTGGTCCATAGGTCGTAAACAGAAGAGCGATTACAATTTTGTAGGGGAGAACGAATTTTGCGCAATGCGATAGGGAAGTCGGAGGCGATTGTAATGTTCGTTTCATGTAGTATAAACGCGATATATTCGCGGCGCATTGCCTGCGTTCAAAGATCACTTTATAGTCACGTTTTTTTCGCGTGGAAGCTTTCCGACAAAAGTCGTTCAACAGTGATCGTCGGAGGATTGAGGAGGAGGTTCTTTGGGTTAGGACGTAACAGGTCAAAAGGGCTAATGACCTTCCTCTTAACAAGAGTAATATCGTTGATATTTATGCTACGTCACCCAGTCCGCTTCGGTTTATCTGCGTGAAAGTGTCATGTAATACATTAAACGGTATACAACGATATATCTCTCATGATAAGAGTACGTTTACGTGTCCGTTACATTTGGTGTGTTTGTACACACGATTTTAACTTCGTACTCTGATTTATATGTACCTAACAATTTATCAAATTTTTTTACGCAGGTAGGTCGTTAAGTAGATAATGTCATGTATGAATCGCTCGAATACAAAGTGACAAATATATCCCGCCGTCTTATCGTTGTTTACAATGTCGAGTTCAATTCATTTCCATTAGAAGTGATAAACATAAAAAGAGATTTGAAGAAGAAAATAGAGTTGCGATGATGATCGATGTAATAATACTCCTTGTTGCGTCTACATCTCCATCGAATTGTACGCGAGTGTTGGCCGGGCAAACGTAGTGCACAGCGCGCGATTAAATTAAAACCTACACGATTTAATTTATCCGCTCAACCTCGTCCGATTGACGTAACATCCTCCTGGACCAGAGCAATATCGCCGTGTGGCTGAAAAGCGGACGCTATCGCGCAACGGTACAGAGTACGAAAACACACGTTATCGGCGCATCGGTATTTTTACGAGGCGCAATTTGTTCCCCTTTACAGCCTGCGAACGGGAATACCGCGGGCGTATCGCGGGCATTGGCGCCCTCCAAACGCGGGGGAGAGAAGTGCATTTGTACATTTCGCGGCCGAGTTCGATAAATATTCACCTCGCTCGCTCGCTCCCTTGTGCATGCGCGACGCTGGCGGCTCACCTCACCGGTGACGGCTGCAGATGCGATTTATCGACGAGTGCTTGGATACTCGATTCGAGGAGAGAGATGACGGACGGCTGAGACGCCACTGTAACGCGTATTCTCGGGATAAGGGTGCTCCTCTCGTCGTAGGAGCGTCGCGTCGCGTCGCGTCGCGTCGCGTCGCGTCGCATCGGTGCTCCCTCTTGTCGTGTCGAGATGCGACAGGAAAATCCACCGGGCTTTTCGTTCTCCGGAAAACGCTTATCGCGCCGGATGTATGCACACGAGTGAAAGAAACAGAACGATTCTCTCTTTCTCTCTCTCTCTCTCTCTCTCTCTCTCTCTCTCTCTCTCTCTCTCTCTCTCTCCTCCCTCTCTCCTCCCTCTCTCCTCCCTCTCATCGTCTCTTCCCCCCTCTTTCTCTCTTTACCTGTCAACCGCCGTTCTGGACGATCGATCTTTGAATCTCGCTTACATGCTTGTCGGCTTAATCGATCTTCCCTTCGGTAGGGGACTACGTTTGCGCCGTCTCGCATGCTCGTCGCCGTTTATCCACTTCGACGTTGAGGACGGGTCGCACGCGTGTCGCACGCTGCGATTGCGGTATCGACTGTATTTTATCATCGAATCAATTTTATCGAATGATAATTTATTTATTATTTAGATTATTATTCCAAATCAGATTTGTCTCGCGTGAATGTTCCCTCCGATCTCAATATGCAAAAGTGGCAACAAGTATAATTATACTCAAAATGCATTTTGAATTTTTCATGTATCTTATTTCTTCTCGGAGATATCGTCCGTTGAAATTTTTTAGTTTGGCGTTTTCGTTACTACCTTACAAAAAAAAAGAAGTTAATCCGGCAGGTGAAAGTTGTGTAATTATATGTTTTTTCGGACGCTGAATTCGTTGTCGGTTCAACCTCGGTCGGTCGGTTCAAACATGAGAATACATAACTGTTGTCTGCCTAATTGATCAAAAAAAGGCGAATTCGAAAATCTTTTTTGAGGTTAGGGACAAACCATGACCTGATGGTCATGGGGTTGAACCGACAACGAATTCGGATTCAGCGTCCCAAAAAACATATAATTACACAACTTTCACCTGCCGGATTAACTTCTTTTTTTTTTTGTAAGGTAGTAACGAAAACGCCAAACTAAAAAATTTCAACGGACGATATCTCCGAGAAGAAATAAGATATATGAAAAATTCAAAATGCATTTTGAAGGCGAAGAGTAGTACTTTCAGATACTGTAACGAGTTTTGTAGAAAAAAATTAATTCACGTTGTAATATAACCCCGAATATAGCGAAAAACTATGTTTTTTGCACTTTCAGATTAGAATATCTCGAAAACCTGATGTGATGGAGCAATTCCGCTGCCGGATTCGGATTCAGCGGACCGAAAACCTTCGGGAAAGTACAGTCTTGTCTCAGGGTTTTAAAAATGTCGGCCTGTGTAATCATTCGCAGCACTAGATTAGGACAATTGTATAATGTTACACTTTAAGATTCCGCTGATCTCTCAAGTTTGATGGGCTATTTGTAGGGCTGACGTAAAATTAAGATTTTGACGGGTTTCTCCTGCGTTTCTACGTACTTCTATTGGTATATCTCAACATCATGTTTCTATTACCTTTCTAAGTAATTTCTAAGTAATGATTGATAGAGCCTTATTAACCCGATTCACTATAATCTAGGCACTTTGTTTAATTATATCGTGTGTACAGAATGAAAATTTAGTTAACTGTATGAATAACGCTTCATTATTAGCGCTAGCGATCTTTGGACGTTCCGTTCTAAGCTAAGTAACGCGGTCGAAGTTTGCAAATGTAACACCGTTGTTTACGGATATCATGATATATGACGGTGCTGCAATTCGTTATTCAGCCCGCTGCATTATTCCGAGATGTGCGTGTGTACGTGCGTGCACGTACTTTGGACGCTCTTAAGGGACTCCGTCCTAGAGGACGATAAATTCTGTTGCTCTCACATTTTCCGTGACTCCTCGTACGTGCGAGGATAAGGATAAAGCGGACGATGAAAGCTCGCGGCGTACTGAGCATCTACGTTTTTATTTATTTTCCCTTTTGTTCACTTGTCATTTGTCACACACTGCTACGGTGCGCGGTGCGCGGGAAACGAAATGAAAAACTGGAAACGCCGAAAATAACTGTGAATCACGCGGAAATTATCGAGACTCGCCCTTACTCTTCGTGTTCTGCCGATTCTGTCCTTCCGCGTGATATTCCGTTGGGGTAGTAGATCGAAAAGATCCACCCCTTGCTACATGTGGCGCTACGTGGCTTTGTATTTGACTTTGCGAGTAACAGGAGTAACATATTTTCTTTCTCTCTCTTTCTTTTTCGTTTGTTTTCACTTGTTGTTGAACTTATTACACAACGTCACGATTGTTGTTGTCGTGATAAAGATGACGAGTAGCAAAAGTAGCGGAAGTACCGTTCGAGGCATGTGAGAACGAATCTGAGCGAATCGATAGGCGACGTTGAGTGCGGGATCACCATTTTCCCATGGCGACGATCAGCTCGCGTTTGCCTTTACCGAGTTATTCCTGACCCGGTCTCGCGGGAGAGACGGAAGGCTGTGAGAATGAGAGATAAGGGCGATTAGAGCGGGGACTCGGCGAAGGAGAAGCAAGTTCGTAAATCAGGATGTTACTTCCCTTGATCCGATTACGAACGATTATATTCCGCGCGGAGTCTTCGCGAAAGAGAGACGAGAGAGAGAGAATGAGGGGGGGGGAGGAAGAGAGGCCAGAGAGAGAGAGAGAGAGAGAGAGAGAGAGAGAGAGAGAGAAAGAGAGAGAGAAGAGAGAGAGAGAGCGCGCGAGAGTCTTTCGTCTTGGATCTTCCACAATAACTTGACCGAGTATTGCTTCGCAGCTTTCTCCCCTCTTTATATTTTTCTTGGTTTTGTTTCTCCGACTCGTTCTCCGTTCTTGTTTCCTGTGACAACAGAGAATCAATAACAATTTTTCCGGTCGAGATTTCCTTATCCTTCAAAAATACGTAACGTAAACGTGGACGTTTAAACGCTGATGCGTTCGACGGGGACATATCTCGTCTTCTGTAAGGTTCTTTCATTTCTCTCAATCAATTTATGGCAAAATTACTTTGCAAACAGCGTCGAGAGATAAATAATCTGAGGAATTAATTACGCTGCAGTTTTGCAGCGTAGTATCTATTAAAGTACTCGTTTGAGTGATAAATAAACTTGGATCATATAATACTCCAAGCCGTCAGCGTATTAATGCTGTTATTAAAACTGGAAACTTTAACGAAAGTGTTCGGTGCCTGGTGCGATACGAAAGTTTAGCATCCACTTAATCTTCAAGTAGTCTCAGTAAGACATCCATTCGATTCTGTATAATCCTTTGCTCTTCTTCGTGAGATTTACTTTCCTTTATACGGCGGATATCCGCTTTATATCTTCCTCGTCATAGGTTTTAAGTCGTTACTTAACAAGCGCCGGCGATACTACTGGCAGCTTTAGAAAAATATCGACTTTGAGCCATTTCGTCGTTTCCCAGCAGCTGCATTGTCCATTAAGTAGCCTTAAGTCCGCCTGCTAGGTTCCGTTAGCTCGTAAAATTTCACCGTCGTCGGATACTTTTTTCCTACTATCCGCATCTATAAAAGCCGCTCAAAAGCTTCCCAGCTTAATAGAAAACGTCATTTAATTATATTCCTCTGGAATTATTTTCTCTGAAAATTGAATCATGTCCAACCTTTTCTGATCATATAAAAAAGAATCTCTTTAATCGTTCTAAAAATGTATAATTTTCATTTATACTTTTTTATATATACTTTTGTGACACACATTTATCCTGAATGTTGAGAAATTGAGTAAATATAAATCGAGTATGTATCAGTCGGAAATCAAAGTGCATTTGATCGCTAGATTTCAGAATGTTATCTCTATCTCTTTCCTCTCCGCTTTATCGCTATTTCTCTTCACAAATAAATGCATTATCCACGCGCGGTAGCGAAAAGATTAACAAATCTCGATGAATGATGCTCGGGGTTGAGAGAGGCGAGCTTGCAACGCGCTAGGTCGCGTCGTGCTGCCGATAACAGACCGTCCGCAGGATGAGACACGGCGGGATGCATCGCGACGTTGCTTAACAGATGGGAAACAGATAGAGATGCTAGGTAACAATCGAGGATGCTGCTGCTGCTGGGACGGATTGCGCATTGCCATTCGGCGAACAATGAGTCGCGGCGACCTCCGAACGGAGAGATGGAATTTGCGTGGTCTCGGGTCCGCGTGTGATATCGGAAAATCAGGCCGGGCTTCAAGCTGCGACAATGCATTCCGGACATATTGCTCCTCGGCATTCTTTCCGCCGCACTGCATATCGTCCGGGACGCGACGTGTAGTCGCTCGAGTAAAGCTTTTATTCGTCGGGCGCGCTTTTATTTGTACGTTTAATCGCGGAAGCTTACGAGAGATGGACGATGGCAAGCCGCCAGGCTTTCTCTCTCTCTCTCTCTCTCTCTCTCTCTCTCTCTCTCTCTCTCTCTCTCTCTCTCTCTCTCTCTCTCTCTCTCTCCCCCTCTTTCTCTCCCTCTTTCTCTCTTTCTTTCTTGAATATCTCTATTTTCTATATCGAGATACGCACAATGAAATATGGGAAAATATTGATACATCATGAGGAGAGGAGATTCGTATTCTACTCTCAGAGAGAGAGAGAGAGAGAGAGAGAGAGAGAGAGGAGAGAGAGAGAGAGAGAGAGAGAGAGAGAGAGAGAGAGAGAGTCCCTAGAGTCCCGTTAGAGCGTTATCTTTAAAGTATATGCGACGGACGAAATCTCGCGTACGTTGCTAATTGCTGGATATACGTTCGTTACGTTACCGATTCGATCTTCGTAATGAGTAAGAGTAGCAGAAATTTTCCTCGTGCTATATTGTACGGCGATTTGCTACGATCGTAAGACCGATATTAATTTTCGTCAAACGTGTGACATCACTTTTTCGATCGCAGCGGTCGGGAAGGATAATGCGAATTCCCCCGTGTGCGTGCGCGAATCGCACGCGGGATGCGTCCCTGGATTTATGTCACCACGCTGCACTATGTGGTTACGTGACGTTCGCCTGACGTTACGTCACGCGGTTAGCGTTCATCGAGTCCTACTACCTATCTACCTACGGTTGCACGAATTGGATCGTCCTCCGCTGCCGTATTTCTCGCTCTCACGCGGAAATGCCGTGGCGATATGTCCCGGCCGGCCGTGTACTTCGTCTTCGGACAGAATTTTCGATCGGGCAAAGTCTCGGCGTTCCTATCGTGCCGCGGTTGTACGGTCCGATTAAATTTCCCGGGACCTCGTGTGGTCACGGAAGTCTGGTATCTGGCATTCGAGCGTCCGTCCTGCGGTTTAGTGGCTGTTATGTAATAAATGTTTGGCGATCCTTAGTAATTGCCCGGAGTTTAATCGCTCGAATACGTGCGATCTTTAACCCTACGACGGCGTAAAGCGGGCCGTAAGCCCGCGCGCAAATCCGTTATCCCGATGAAACCCACACCTTCGGCTTATCCTCGCACTTTTTTATCTATCGTTTTTCTCACCTTTGACATTCCTTAACGTTCCTCATTGATTCGAAACGTGATCACTGACGAGAGAGGAAAAATAAACGGTATTTAAATATACGCCTGAGATATACGCGCGGGACGGAATAACTCCCCCCCCCCCCGCCGGGGCTGTCTCCCGGCCGAATTGGGGAGAAACGTGAATGTCAAACTTTCACGTAAGCCGCGTAGTTCGCGATGCCGCATCGATTTTTGTTTTTCGCCAGTCGCATGTAACCGTTCTCGCCCCAGTTCTCGCCCCACCAGTTCTTCAGGATCCACTCGGTCGGCGTATATCCGACAATCAGCATCGCGTGGTTCACCGTGTCTGAGCTGCACAGATGGTCGTCGTAGACACCTTTGCTACGGGTGGAAAGGCCGATTAACATTTCAAATTACCTCTCGACGTATCCAAAGACAGAGACAGAGGGAGAGGGATAGAGGTCATTTTCTCCAATCTATAAGGGCAAATATTAATGTCACAATGTAAAAGAAGAAAATGGAGAAATAAAGTCAGATGACGATTCGCGTGTGCTGTATGATGTAATGAAACGCCTCGGCACGCGTCGTATCTGATACGCAAAATAGAGATCGCGGTAGAAGAATGTAGCACGCGCGTCGCGTGTTTTCGATTAGAAAATGCGAATGATAGACATTGAACTCTCGCGATACACGCATACACGCACAAATGCGCGATCACTGCGATGCGCATCGCGTTTATAAATCAATCAATAGTGCTTGTATATAGCTTCATATCGATCGTGTTTTCGCACTGTGATGATCGGCACTGTCTGTTTGTCACGGACTTGCGAAATGGTCCTCGAGTCTTTGCAAATAATTTCGAATGCTGCGGTCGCTCCGCAATTTCCGCGTGCGTTTGTTGTGCAGGGTGAAAAAGGGTGCAGGCAAAGCTGACTGGTTGTTGACAAAGCAGAAAAATGCAAAATCTCGATCCACAATCGTCGCATCACTCCGAAGTGCGATGATCGCGTTCCGACGCTCGACGATGAATGATCGCGCGACAGCTACGTATATAGGAGGTTATTATACGAGTGAACTCATTTTCCCGAGCGTGTGCAGTCTTTCACCGCGGGTTTCCGTAACTTTTGCCGTTACGTGTGCCGCTCGTAGACATACGAGTGAAAAGTTACTGAAATCCGAGCGATTCGAGACCGAGTCGTTTCATTCTTTCAGCGAAATTTCATACGGATACATTTAGGGGGCCGTGCTCTTGAATATTGCCCCTTAAACTCTTACTTTCAATCAATCTATTGTACTTCATTGTATTTATTCATCGACGCGCGACAATCGACACGTGGCAAAGTGAGCTCGCACATGAACGCGCGCTCGGCTGTTGATAATAATAATCGGCTGCGATCATTCAAAGATGGATCCGGATTAAACCGATGACGGCAACGACAACATCGATCGCGCTCGCTCGACATTTCCGTTTGCGCAGCTTTTCGAGAGGTCAGTCGAGGGTTGCGATTAAAATATTCATTTATTTATTGCCGGATTACGATTGATTAGTTATCTGCGTGAAAAAAGAAACTGTTTGTCACCGTCGCTCTGGCGTCGGTTATCGACGGAATTTTTTCCAACATCGAGCGTCGAGTACTTTGAAACGTCGTAATTCGCGAACGTCTCGCGTTGCAATGACGTGTGTTTCTCTACACCCCTCCCTCCGGCCGCTGAAAATTGACAGTTGATCGGTCCGAGTCGGTCGGCAATTGCGAACGCGCGGAATATCTCAATACGACGAGATGCGTAGCGTTCGTATTCTCTTAAATGGCAGGTGTCTAAAATTATCGCGTATCTCGCGAACGTGTCGCGCGACTCGCGCGCGCACGTCACTTACTCGTTAGTGGCAATTTGCACGACCGCTCTTTTTGCTCCCGAAGGCAAATAAAATGGCAATACTCACTGATAAAGCTGGAACGTCTTCGGCATAGCGTTTATGGACACGGCTATGGGACCGACGGATGCCACTGCCGCCTCCAGAGCTGTTTCGTCTCGCGCTGGCAAAATCGCCCATGACGTGATATTGACGACGCTCAGGTCTCTGTGAAATTTGCACTGGCCATCCTGAAATGTTCAAGTCGTCTGTCTCTTTGTATGCCTGTAAAATCTTTCTGCTTGAACCGTCGAACGGAGGCCCGATGCGAAAAGTCAATGCGAATCGATTTCACTTTCAGTGCAGAAAAATCGTTCGCTCGCTCGCAAGATCGCACGTCGTATCGTACGTAGTATATTTGCGTTGCGAAAAAACGATCGCTCTTAAAATATTTCGTGTTCGAAGTTGATCTCTTGCTCTCGAAGTGCATACGATTGGATTTATCGCTACATGAAGTTATTATCGAACTGCTATATTTGTCATTAATGTTTGCGTAGGTTGATTATTGTGTAGATAGGTACATTTACAGAACTTACGATAAATTAGTCCAGAAATAAAAGCATAATGATTCTTTGGCGTCAACGCAATTGAATTGAAGTATGGAAATGATGAAAAATGCGAAAAGATCTCTCGGGAAAGATAACCATCTTGTTGAATCACCTCAACAATAGCTGGATGTCGCTCATTTTCTTCAATGAGATTAATTAGATAATAAACATGTAGTATGCATTACATTTGATTCGTTTGATTTGTAGTGTCGAGAGAGAGAGAGAGAGGGGGGAGGGAGGGAGGGAGGGAACGAGGGAGAGAAAGAGAGAGAGAGAGAGAGAGAGACAGATATCGTAATTGAAGGAGACGTATTCAACATTGAGAATGGAGATCCCAGGAAACTTTTACTCGCGAGTGTCGTTGTATCATTCGACCTTTGTAATACGACATATTGCGTACTTAACTAAATCAGCCGGGCCAGATAAGCGTTTTGTTTTTACATTTTTACGGAACACGCGTATTCCCAATGTGTGACACAACAGTCCAAGTATATTTATTAGTGAGAAAGTAAACGGAGGGTTAACATCGCCAAGTTAGTCGAGTTGTGTTAAGATAATAGCGTTATCATGACCGACATAATTTGAATTTTCCCGGTCGAAATTTTCCACAAGTTTCCTGATGTTTCCGAGAGAAGGTAGAGTCTGTGTGAAATAATGAAAACGACCTTTACGTTTGTCTCTTCATCGCGATAATTATATTCGCACTGTCTCAGCGTCTTCGTCTTCACGGCCGCTAACAACATATTATTGCGCGTTATGGCCAGTGAAAATGGGCAGAAATCGTCGTTTCGCAACCGCCAGGAGAGAGAGAGAGAGAGAGAGAGAGAGAGAGGAGAAAGAGAGCGAATATCGTTCCCCGACGTAAATTCGCCTACAGCCGGTTAGTTTTGTGATCAAGTTCGAGAGAAAATTTTTCGCAGGGTTATCGAGAGCGAGTATTTTTCAGAGAGAATCAGAAAGGAAGAAGGAGGAAAGGTGGAGACGAATAAATTTTCTCCGTGTTGTGTAACGTTCACAAAGGACACCGAGCGTTTTGTAACATTTTGCACGTCGCGAGAGATCGATACGCAAGAGACAGTTGACATGTTGCGACGTGTCCTATTGCACGTGGATCGACAGGTGGAAAAGAAGCGTGTACCTGGGCCTTGTACGGGTACTCGGTTTTGGCCATGAGACCCTTCGATCGCTCCAGATATCTCAAAGTGTTCCTGAGGGAACCGCCGGCGCAACCGCGATTCCCGGTCGCCGTGCTGCAATCAACCAACTGTTGTGCGCTCAAGGGGATCAGCATGCCAGTCTGCTTGAAAATCTGTCCCTGTATACTTTCCACGATAGAGTAAGCGTAGCAACTACCGCATTCCCGTTGGTTCACCGGTCGGGTGTTGAATCCGAGTTCGCGCCAATCCAGGCGAGCCGGTATGTTGTGTGGTTGCTGCAGAGTCGCCGACAGCATCGGATCGCTCGACGACAATCGGCGCCTCCGACTCGGTACCAGTTTCACCTGAGGGATATTGACAGAAGGAAATATTCTCTTATTATCGTTTGCGCGTCGCGACGGATTTGTATGTATTTGTAGTAGAACATTTCAGCTTTATATTGAGGCTCTCGTTGCGTCGGGATTAAGGTATTGCACTTAGGAAATGAAAATTATAATGACGATGGGAAAGGGGCCTATACAAGCCTTTTGAACACGTAATTAAATTAAAGGAACGCAAAAAGCTCGCACGCGAGCTTCGTAAATTTGTAATAATTATTCAATGTCAGAAGTATGCGATTGCTTCTGATTGATTTTTATTTGTTGTTGCCAGTCGTTCATATAATTTGGGATTATTGAAATTTGGATATGGAATATTTCAATTAATATCCCTGAGACTTGAGACCCTGAAACTTGGATTCCGGAAATTGAAATTGAGGGTCCTGGGACTTGTAGATTAGGATTCAGATTTCGAATATTTAGATTAACGAGTTAAATTTGTCAGCGGGTTTCGCTGTTAGTTATATACCATTTTGCGCATATACTGTGGACTACTGAGATCGGCGATATGGTTATCCCGCAATGTATAACTGTGATGTCCCGCGGCGGCCATTAGGTTGTGTTTATAAATCTCCACGAGGTTTTGTTCCCAAGCTATTCGTCTCGCGTTCTCCAGATTTCCCTTGTACGTTTTATTAAACTGCGTCTGTTGAAGCATCGTGGGAACATTGATCAATATGTGCCTTATGTAGAATGTAAACGGGCGACATATAGAACTTTGCGATATTGTTTATGAGATACACACACACACACACACACACGCATATACCTCTCGTCCGTTACTAGAGACATTGGAAATATTAATAATTTTAATTTTAAATTGAAAGCAATGTATTCGCTAAAATTCTACAAGGAGAGATTTCAATTAGATTATATTATGTAAATCTTTTCAGATGAAAGTTGTCTCATAAATATGATCGAATTGATAAGTTATGTATTCTAAGATCATACATCTTATGCACGTTCGAAGTTACAAGTCATACAATTGAAAAAAGTTATTAATTTATACATTTGCAAAATTTATCGCGATTTTGGTGCATTAAAATGATTAATTCCTAGATATTGAGAAATTACATTTCAGTATTAATCATTGGAAATTAATATTACTCGCATGAATGATATGTGGTGAAACATGTATGTATTATTCTAAAAGTATGTTAAGGACACATTACCTTGTAGGTTGCCCAGTAATCGTCCAACTGTTTTGAGACTTCCGACGGTAAAACACTGACCCCATTGAGTACCTGGAACGCGCGTGTTCTGGATGAAATTAATATCAATAATAGTATAAATACGTACAATCGCGAGCGCATGGTTGCTCGTGAATGATTTGGAGCTTTTAATTAATCCGCGGGCGGATTCTCGGGCAGTGGTTATCTTGACGAACCTCGCGATACTGCGTGAGGTCATAACGTTGCAGTGTTGAGCGATCGTTGTCAGCACATTCGCGAATTGCCTCACCGGACAATCGCTCGCTTTATGCTGATGCATATTTATTTAACTAAACACATATGTACAATGCCATATTTCGGACGGTTCTTTACGTATCGAGCGTCTGTGTTTGTCTTGCATTTTAGTGTAATAGTTAAGTTGTTCTCACAACGGTGTCACTCAATTCGAGACGGAAACGGTGTACGATTGTTACATTGTGACAATAAATAATGTAATGTGAGACAATTTGAGAAATTAACGTTGGGTTTTTGAATCTTTATTCAAAGTTTCCTATATTTAACACAAAGTAGAATACAAAATGTAAGAATCAGAGGCACAAGAATGCAAGGGAAGCGTCAAACAAGAAACAAAGTTTATGTTTTCGCAACTATTGGTTTGTTTAGTTGTCCTTCGCCGCGCTTGGTGCCAAGGTCGTACGGCCGAAGATTGCCCGTGGAACTGCTACTTGCAAGTTGTCCGCTGCCGCCGCCGCGCCTCGCCGACCGGGTTAACTCCGCTCCACCGTCGCGAGATGGCGGCAGTCGTAAGTCAGAGACGTTGTTGTCGCGCGCCGCAACGCTTCCGCGGCGGTCTCGGCGGGCGGTTCTCGTAGTACCGATACGCGCGCGCGTCACGCTCGTCTCGTTTCGCCGTGGTGTCGTTCTTTCGTCGCGCGTCTCTTCTTCCTCGTGGGTCGTCGCGCCGCCGTCGCCGCCGTTGTCGTTGTCGTCGTCGTCGTCGTCGTCGTCGTCGTCGTCGTCATCGTCGTCGTCATCGTCGCCGTCGCCGCCGCCGCCACCGCTGACGCCATCGCCGTCGCAGGTAAAATCGGCAGAAAAGCGCGAAAGGGCGATGGAACGCGCGCCACAGCCGTACAACTTCACGAGTCCGCGCACGCGTGCATGCGCGTCGTATGTCGCGAACTCCGTGTGCAGCAACTCGCGCGACAATTCTTGACACTTCCGCAAAATGGGAGTCTTCTCGCGGTACCGCTCGCCTTACGATTACGCGCCGTGATCCATCTCCCATCTTCTCACTCGTCGTTCCTCACAACACCTCTTCTTCTCCTTCCTCACCGCTTATCGGCCATTGCTTCGCCATTTTATCCGCGAGCTCGCGTCGCGACGCGTTTCTCGGACGGCTCGTCTCTTTCGACTCGCCTCATCTTCTTCCTCCGTCGATTTCGCGTTTCCGTCATCGTTATTTTTCACGGCCACAACGCGACGCGACGCCACGCGACGCGGCGCGGCGCAACGGCCACCTCGTCGCCGCGCAGTGCGAAACTTTCGAACGCGCGCGTTCGCTCGGCTCGCCACGTTGATTCGTCGCGCGTCGTCACGCGCGGCACATTCGAAGCGCCGTGCCGCACCGCGACCACCTTCGCCCCGCGACGATGGACGAGTCCGGGGTCGACATGGGCTTCGACCTGACGGCCGCACTGACCGCCGACCTCACCGCCCACCATGCCGCCACCACCCTCGGCGATTACGACGACGATTTTGAGCAGACCCTGTCTCTCTTGTCGACCTCCACCAAGGATTTGATGTACTACGAGCTGAAAAGTCGTGCTCCCAACACTGCCAGGTATGTGTCGGAAGGGATAGCAGAGTGATGATATACTATGTTGAAATAAATTTTATTAATGAGAGACACTGATCGTGTGATGATATCGAGCCCAATAGCGTCTCGCGCTCAATTGACATCGACGTCGCCGCTGCCGTCATGGCGCTAATAAAAGAAGCAACTTGTAGGTCCGTTAACATTGCAAATGTTAATGAGCATCGTTTGAGCGATTGAGCGATTAATGTTTTCATTCTGACGATATAACTCTTGGCGAGCTGGGCAGATAATATGATTAACGCGGGCGTGGATATCAATTTTAATTGGGAATATTACTTGTAGCACATTCGCGTCGTAATTATTGGACGTGAATTTTATTTATGACAGTTATTCGGGGATATATATTATACACGTATCAATGTCGATGTGGAAACAAAAGAGAGCGGATATAACAGTCCACGGTTTCACCAGTTCCACGGTTGCTGTGTGTTGGTGCACCAGGGGCGCGAGAAACGCTTTTATTTGGAGTACTGATATCGTGACTGCTCCGCGGTGTACGAACGATTACAGAGAAGTGTAAGATGCACAAAGAAATCCATTGTGTTGTCATGCGTTTGCGGCAATTTTAACTTTCCGAATGTTCATTTTTTTGCCCCAACGCATACATATACTATATAAATGTATCGCGCGTGGTTAACGTGATATAAGACACGCGTTTTAAAAACAAATGTGTGTGTTCAATATATATATATATATATATATATATATATATATATATATTGAATAATTGGATAACAGCAATTATTTAACTCGTTTTAAATCAATAAATTTTCGACGGAAGAAAGCGACGCTTTGTACCTACGAATCCGATAATGTCTATTTTCCGTGATTACTATCAAATAGTATTACTATCATAAAAAAATAAAAGAGGTCGTTATCAGCCTATAACTGCCAAGTCTCTACGTGGATATGTACAGTATCCCAAAGAAATATACTCTGTTTAGTTTGTGATTTTACAATGGAGAGTAGATATTACAAGATGAAGATGAAGATTAAATATTCCATATTTTAATTATACATTTAAACATCGTGTTATCTCGCGCGTTTGTACGTGATACACGCGCATTGAGTTTTTGTTGAAGACGTATTCGCAACCAAATGTTGTGACAACCATTTTGTGGACAGCCTGTATTCCTTGTCTGTGTGTCTATACAACGGTCATTATCGTATTTGTCTACTCGATAACATATTGGAGACCATAAAAGGCGGGTTTCAAATACTCTGCAAAGCATTAGCGGACCCTGGCGTCGATAATGAGGAGGGGGGGGGGTTTGATAAAATTATAAATACAATAATGCTGTAGCTTTGAGGTATTTTATAATCATTAGTAGACAGCAAACAACAGCGGACATTGTATATAAAAAGAAATCGAACAGTTTGAATGCAGTGAATCTTAGACATAAGAATTTGATTCACGGGCGCCTGTGTTAATCGGCCTGTATTATTTTATCTAAATTTTTTAAACGGATTTAATAAGACTGATTTCTCTTAATTTCTTTTAATTTGGAATTTCTTTTAATTTGGAAGAGGGGGAGGTTAACTTCAAAACCCCTCCTTAGAATCCGCTAGTGTTGCAAAGTCATATAATATATTGAAGAGAGAAAGAGAGAGAGAGAGAGAGAGAGAGAGAGAGAGAGAGAGAGAGAGAAAGAAATGCGATACATTTGCGCGGTTGTAAAAAGACGGAATTGGGTTACATTTTTGTAAACACGAGCAATTGTATTGAAAGAAATCGAAGAAAATCGTTATCTGATGTTACGTAAGTACGTACAATAAAAACAACATAATACGCTGAAATCGATGGGTACTACGTTAACGTGGTAGCGTTATCCAGCGGGCATGATTTTTCGATCGTCGAAATATTGAATGACGATAAGATTGAGTCTCATACGTGGCTTCCGCAACAAAGAGATTAAGATGAGTTCACGCACGAACGACAGTAATGTCAATTATACGCGCGAGCTTGTCCTATATAAAAATTTATTACGCGGCGTTGGACAGTGACGAATTTGTAGGCTTGGTCGAGTTTACTAAACGTCATTGTGCAATTTTTGAAATGTCAGAGGAAATATTTGGATTTTGGAGTCAAAACGACAAGATAGGACTAGTCGTTGAAGAGTGGCGATTTTATGGAGTGTTCCTTCTCGGTGTGAGCACAATATGTTATCTAATCGTGTTCTCTCACAAATACAGGATATATAAAAATAGTGTCAGCAACAACGGGAAATACCCTTCGCGTGGAAATTTATACGGGGCACTCCTCGCTGTCGGTAATTTGATCGGTGGTTTAATTATTTGGGTTGTTAAAGATGAGGTGCTCGATTCTGTTTGGATCGTGAAATATCACGATGTTTAAGTTGTTTCGCCGTTCTTTTTAATATTGGATAATTATTCTCTGTAGACATTAAAGAAGAAAATTGTATCGTGCGAGAGGGCGAGAATAGAATCGTTTGGTAAACGTGAGCCGGGAAGGGAACGGCGATGGACATTTGATGCGGTACGCACGCAATAAATTTTGGGGCGAATCGATATAGATTAGCCGCGAACCAATCGCTGCCGATATATGTGTGCAATTTGTATGTTTGTTACAAACGCAGAAACTATCAGTCCATTTGCAGATTCTTAATCGTATTTTTCATTTACATAGAATTCTCTTGAAATCGATCGTAACAAACTACACATGAAAAATGTACGAACCAGACGAATTCGTTTTTCCTTTTTTTTTTATTTTATAAAAAATGTATATATAGATTTTTCGTTCAGTACTCGCTGGATACAGCGATCTATCGCTGTTGATAAGTGAGTGAACCACGTGTCTCCGCGTACCCCTCGATGAAAAAAATGACAGAAGTTCCAGCTCCAATTTTGACTGCGAAATTGAATCAAATCTAATCAAACTCGCCTCACACGTGTCCGGTTTCTATAAGAATCGAAACGTGTCACGAATGCGACTGTCGGGAAGAGCGGTGCATCTTCGTCCTCTCTCTCTCTCTCTCTCTCTCTCTCTCTCTCTCTCTCTCTCTCTCTCTCTCTCCCTCTCTCGTGTCTTCGACGACAGTAATAAAGAGGAGCGCTCACGAGATACGATATGGCAAGAAAGATAAAGAGAAAGAGAAAAGAAAGAGACAATTTCAAAACGCTTCGAATTATCATATACCGTCAGTTTTTGGACGATTTGAATGAAGACTCTCTGCTTTGATCTCGCAGCCGGTTAACTATAGTGCGCGAGGCTTGTGAAAAGGGCAGGGTCATTATATTCATGAATCTATCGATGAGACGATTGTGCTCGGGCTCGGCTCTCTCGCTCATTCTGTCGTTCGGAGTGAATCGTAAGCAATGGTAGCGCCAAACGATCGTGATTGGTACGCAATCTCGCAGGAAAACACTCGCACTCGACTACACTTTGATTAACAGCGTTTGACTGTGCGCGTCTTGGATACTCGCGTTGGAGTCGGCTATATCAGCTATCCACGAATCTCCGGCATCACGGAGCGAGGGGTTGGAACATGCGCACCGCGAATATCAACTTTCACACAATCCTCCAGAGTTTCTTCGAGGAAGAGAGAGAGAGAGAGAGAGAGAGAGAGAGTGTGTGTGTGTGTGTGTGTGTGTGTGTGCGCGCGCACGCTCAAATTGCGCCCGAAAGTTCTCGCGCCTAATCAGCCTCGTTCCTCGGGCGTTAATTGATTCCTACAGGAAAGGCAACGCGAGCTTAAGCTGAAATCTCATTTGAACGTAAGATGGAACGTAGGATGCAATAGCGATGGAGCGAGCGAGCGAGGAAGAGCGTTAAGGAATGTGTCGGATCCTTCAAATTTCTCACTCGAGAATATTACTTTCGTCACGTGCTTGTTCTTTAAGAATCGCGCGAGCTGTTCATCTTCGAACGTCGTTGACTTTGTGTGAGCGGCTTTCCTTAATGTTGGAATTTATGCGTTGTATACCCAAGATGTGTACATAATGACTACTGATAGCGATCATTACTAGTAGAGAAACATTAGTAGTCCATTTTTCACGCTGATCCGATCGCACGCTCTCGCATCTCGTGTCACGTATGACTTCAGCAATCGTCGATCCTCACTTTACGATCGTAAAGAAATGCGTCGACTGGAAATTTACTGTTAAGCGGTATCACGTCGCTCATAACATCGATCGTACGCAATGATTTCGCGAGACGTGACCGGCACCGCATACGGATAGCGCGTTAACGAATAGACCACACATGCAACGCACGTACGAGTGAATAATAACAATTTCCGTCCGAAATATTGCCGAGGTGGCGGATAATCGTTATCAATAATCGGGCGGGGATTAGCGAGCTACGCGTTTAATCCGCCGCGCGCGCGTCGGTACGCCGTCGTGATGCATCGCGAAGTCGGTGACTCGGCGAACGTTTTATCGCTCGGAGAAGTGTAATGGAATGGAAAGAAATGAGCAGAATCATAAAGAGATCGCGCTGCGCGAATACATATACGTTCGCGGGAGAGTGATTGTTGACGTAAGAGGGTCGGGGACAACGGAGATAACGAGGGAGGGGAGAGAGAGAGAGAGAGAGAGAGAGAGAGAGAGAGAAAGGCAGCTGGAGGGGTCGATAATAAGTCGTTCCGGGAATCATCATCTTCAAATTTTGCACACGTCATCTCGCGAAGCCTCTAGATAGGATTGACCTTCAGCAGTATTGCATTCACGGTCTGTGTGTTGAGGAAGGTAGGGGTTTGGAGGGATCAACGATCGACTCGATAGAAGCAATCAGCGGAAGTAGAAGACGAAGTGCTACTTCATAAATACCGTCGACGGACGATCTTCTTCTTTGTGTTTGTTCGTTTGCGAAACTTGGCGCGGAGATTGATTTGTATTCGCGCGACGTCTTACAGCGCACTCCTTCGTATATACATACGTACTTCATTCGTATCCAGCGACCCGTGTCTCCAATGATTTTGCGACATCGCGCTTTAAATTTCCAA